CGACAAACATTGTTTTATCATATAAATTATTTCTAGAGAATATTTTGCTAGAAAAAAATAACTAATTTAATATAAGTGTATAAGGATGTGGTGTATAAGTGGAAGAGGTATGAAGTGCTGTGAACAGTGACGGAATATAAAAATAAAAATACATCAAACATTTATTTTTTTAATAATTTATTAAAATTGATCCAATAAAATTATATATATCGCTAATTATGACAATATTAGTAAAAAACAATATCTATCTCTTAATTCAACAGAGTGCACAATATTTTTTGTTATACCATCTTTCGCCAACACAAACTGGATGGTTCGAGAGCACGCCACGTATTATTGTCCGTGTGAAAAATATGATGTGCTCAAATCTAAGCCACGGACAGACATCGTTTGACCTTGAGACTTATTGCTAGTCATTGCAAATGCCAATCTAATTGGAAATTGAAGGCGTTTAAATTGTATTGGCACATCTGTGGGTATAATAGGGATTCACAGTAATAATATATTTTCACCTCAGAATTTTCCATTTAAAATTATGGCTTCGATAACATTTTTCATTCATTTTTTAACGACTTATCGCGTGCCGTTGTACAACCGTGGTGGGTCAAATTACGAAGCAAAATAACCGGAGATCAAACCTTCAATTGTAAATTATGTGGTGGCATACCTGGTAAATCCAATGAGTTTAAAAACTCTGTTGGACAATTTACAGCTTCAGTAACATCGCAAACTGTATCAATAGATTTGTATACTACCAAGTCTCCTGGTAACAATTGTTGTATCTTGAGATTCAATTCGTTGACGTCCACATTTTTTGCTGCTAAAATTACTCGTTCTGCAGCATGCTAGCCACACATGATTTGTGTATTGTCTGTGTGCATTGGGAAATATCTGGTCAATGAGAGCATCTTGTAAATCAATGATTATGCAGAAACCGGTCGGTAATTGTATGCAATTAACGCAAGTTAAACACAATTTAACACATAGTACACATACGAGTAGTTCGTATAGCATTTGAAAAGTTTTCTTAACCACTCGAAACACGGAGAAACACAATCATATGCTAGATAATACGGCAAGGATGTACAAATGGTAATCATTTTTTAGTGATTTGTTAGAATTAAAATCACTTGTATCTTTCGTAAATAAACCTAACATAAACTAAATAATCATCATCAAAAAGATTAATTATGAATTTAATTTAATTACGAATTAAATGTACAAATATTAATTTTACTTCCAGAAACGACAAAATATCACTGCACTACTTGAAACTTAATAGGATGTGTACAAAAATGCTGCGTGGTGTGTTTGTTGTTAAATTTTTCAACATCCGTGAACATGTTACACCATATTCTGTTAACCATCTTAAAAAAAATAATTAAAAAAATAATGTTACACCATCGCTTATCGTTTTCAAAAAAAAAAAAAAATGATGTATAGTAAATGTAACACCAAAGAAATTAAACGAAAAACAACCGTACCATAGGGTTGATAGAAATTCAATACATAGATAATTGTAAAAAAAAAGTCATTAAAACTTTTGCCAAAAGTTATATCAAACTTGAAACATTATTTGAGTAAGTATCAAAAACGTTTAAATAATCTATGAAATAAAAACCATTTACGAACACGAATCGTCTGTAATGTTTTAATAAATGTCCATGATAACGGGTTTTTTTTTTTTACTTTTCAGTAGTTTTCATTCAATTTATTGATACTATACTATTTGTTTTTGAAAAAAATTGAATAATAAGAATCCGATTTATTGTATAGGTGCCATTTTGTAATATTGTATTAAATATTTGCGAAAACTAATGACTACCCAATAGCGTTATGATAAATGATAAGAGATAATTTTACCTAATCATCTAATTTTGAATAATAAAAACCTTTTTCTATAGCTCGTAATACTGTAGCTATCATAATAATATTGTTCCAGGATAAATATATACCATATAACAATTTAACTACGTTCCCCTCATTGTCGTAGAAACAAGATTGTTTGAAACTTCTTTGCTTACCTTTATGCATACAGAATACTCGTACATTATGTTTCGTTCAAACTTTCATTCATGATCTCTTTGAATAAATATTATCACAATTGAACGAATATTGTGTCGTTGTAATCATATGAGGATTTTACGAATTTAATGTATTGAAATATATATTTTTTGTGGATTATTTCGATTTTGACAAATTAAAATATTAATTTTCACTCTAAACCTAATTTTTTCATTGTTGTACAAGTTCATTAAGATTTTTTTCTTCGTTCAATTAGCTTCACACGAAAGCTGTCAAGGAAAAATTATTTATTCACTTTATAGTTGACCGGAATATATATATATTATAATATTATTATATTATTATTATATATATATAATATATATATTATTAAATAATTATTTTTTTATTACAAAAAATCATCTTTCCATCTTACAAATAAACTTTGATATTGTCACCGATAAAGATTTTTCATGCATACAATGAAACATACAATTTTATTTGCTTTTGTGATTTTTGTAACAAATATTCGGATGTAATAATCAACTAAAAGTACAATTTTTTTTTATCTTTGGTCTCATAACAACTTCGAAATATATCTTGTTTTTTTTATGAAAATATAATCACAATCGGTTAGCATATGTTATAGTATCGAACACTGTAAGCCTGTATAACCTATTTATACTTACATTTCTAATGATATGAACCCTCCTACTACGTCTTATACAGTATACGATTAGATGCTAAATCTTTACTAATACGTGACAAGACGCATTTTCTCTCGCCTTGTTAACGAACCGTTTTATTGACGGCATCGAAGTGTTTAAAGTAGATCTTTCAATTTAAACTTCAAATTATAGTGAAACAACTCAGCGTAATACGACAATGGGTTGTATACTTTTTACTTAACATCGACGATTTACTAAGATTTTTGTGTGTATTACTCAACAGCAGAAAACGGTCCAATGTATATTGTTGCCACAATCAATTAACATATAACACAAAATCTTATAAGGAGTACGTGACGTTGTAACCAAACAGTGACACTTGTAATAATTATTTGAATACATCAGTAATGATTTTTACATTACAAACAGTATCAATAAAAAACACTTTTGAATTAAAAATTATCAATTTATTTATATGGATACACTTACCAATTTTTTTACTAAAATCAACTGAAAATTTTGATAACAGATTAAAATCTACCGAGCTCAAAACATATACAGAATTAATTTCTCCTCGAAAATTAAGATAACCAATCAATATTTGTATGAGATCCACCGGTAAAAGGCAATAAGAACTAAGTGAAATATAACTACTATGTGATAACTGACAGTTGAAGGATTCAATAGCTTGTGTTCCTTTAACCATTTAGTAATGAAATATTTAATTTATAAATTTTGGTACAAGCAAAATTTAAGAACAAAAATTTTAAACAGGTAATGACTGAATGGTTTTTTTAAGATAAAAGTATCACTAAAGAAAATTGTGTTCACCGAGCAACAAATGCGTAGGACTTGTTCCCTAGTCGTATCACTCATCAACATACATAATTTTGATGATATAAAAATTTGATGCCATAACAACACTCATAATGTATAGTTATAATCTTACATTTGCCAGAATCCTGCACTATTCTCATCAACTTGGGTAATTATAATTTATGAATATCGATCAGTTTCGATTAGAGCTCTTAAAACACGTGTCACGGAATTCACGTGTACACGTGAAATACATGTTTATCCAAAATATATATCCATTTTTCCAATGGTAAAATTAGTAATTTTATGTTATACACTTGAAGTTTTAATAAAATATTAATAGTACAGTATTAAGTTAAGGATATACGTTTTTATTTTGGATTTTACACGTGACACGTGAATTCCGTGAATTCACGTGTATTAAGAGCTCTAGTTTCGATATTCATAAAAAATAATCACACAATTGGACGAGAATATTACAGGAATGTGGCAAAAGTAAAATCGTAACTACATATTATGACAATTATTAACGCTAAAAATTTATTTCATATTGGTGACGAGCTACACAATTATAGATCAAAGAGACCCACGTATTTGACAATAAGTGTTCATTAATTTTTTATTAATGTTACTTGTGCCAACATTTAAAAATTGAATATCACATTAATAAATAGTCAGAGGGATACTAGCGCTTATTTGATTGAATGCTTTAAATATCATCAACCAAGTGTCGCTGACATTATGTTGCTTAGCCCCAATATCTCACTTGACTCATTATGCATTTTTCCGGTTGATATTATATGTATTTTTTTATCACCCCTGCTATGCGCTCTCGAGTTTAATCTCAGACGTTTACTTTTGTTTGTCTTTATTTTCTAGTACAGGATTTCCAATATAACCAGTGGTTTGCGCTCATTCGTGTAGCAAACTCAAATTATCCACGTCCTATGCAATAAATTCTTACGCAAAATGACTGGTTTGCAATTATTTACAGAATTATTTACTAAGTATAATAAATGAATCAATGATTGCTGAAACGTCACGAGTCACATATTTTATGAAATTGAGATATTAGTGAAAAAGTAAACTATATAATAGTATTATTATCTCAATTTCATAGAATATGTGTGACTTGTGACGTTTCTGCAATCATCAATTCGACTCTTATAGTTTGTAAATAAGACTGTGAATAATTTCAAAACAGTCATTTTGCGTAAGAACACCTATTAAGAAATATTTTTTGTAATATATTCAAACAATTTAAAATAGGAGGGAGAATGAACATTGCGATTTAGATGCAAAAAACGTTTGAAATTGAGAAATACCAAAGGTATTTTTAAAATTTGAAAATCGAAAACTATCTTTAGAGCGAAACTATAAAATACTTATAATTATAAAACGCTTGATATTAGACACGGACATCAAACAAACAAAATATCTCCTTTGTTCGAAATTGCTAAGGACAATGGATATATTATTTTTTTCCTAATAAGCTTTAGAACCTAACTAAACTTAATACACTCTACAAAAGTAGTAGTTTATACCAATACACACTACTGTGAATCCCAAATAACCTAATACGAAACGGTCCTGTTGGAAATACTCGTACCAGCTCTTTGCAGTTTTTAAATACTCATGCATTTTAGCATTCATTGCATCTGTAATAGTGGTTCGAGAACTCAGTGAAAATGAGTCGTATAGAAGATTTTGCTCGTTGATTTTTTCATTTTGCTCCGGTTCATCATGCAGTGGTTCCAACTCGTCAATTTTTAACTTTGACTCGTCAGTCTGTACATCTGGCTCACCAACCTTTGGATCCCGCTACAGTTTGACAATCAGTGGCATTTAGCTCTTGTTTGTCTATTTCATACTTTAAATCACCAATTTTTATTACCTGTTCGTTGATAATTGTATTTAGCTCAACCTCATCAGTCGGACTCTCCGGTTCATCGATATTTGACTTTAGCTGGTCGATTTTAAGCTGAATGATCTGAAATCCCGGTTTGACGATAAGTTACATCAATACATATTGTAAAATGTATTACCATATACAATATTTCTAATAGATTTTAGCTATACATTATCTATTAATTTATAATATTTTAATAATACATAGTGGTGTTTACAATAGCATTTAATCAAATTAATATTAGTCACTAATTATTAGTTATTAAATATATAAATCTTGATAAGAACATCGCAACATCAAATAATTGTAATGAATTATATAAGATTATTATTTAATTGTTTTTAATAAAGAATAGAAATCATAATTAATATTCACCGTTCACTCTACACTTCCTATTAAAGGAAAAGGTAATAAAATATTTATCATAATTTAGTAATCTCACCTGCTGATGAGTTTGATTGATCATTTTAATACAAAATTGCAATACCACCTCCTCTAATTCGGTAATAGACTCGAAGTAAAGTTGTTTCGGCTCTTTATACGTATGTTGCTCATCAATAATCTCATACGTCAACGGTGATGCTAAAAACAAAAAAAATATCAAAAGAAAATAAACAGTTGGAAAATGACTATGATTTATGCTTATGAGCTTACAAGCGTTTATTTAAAGTAAATCATATTTTAAATTCTTTCCTTTAGTAAAATTTACCTCGCGTGTCTTGCATCAAAGTCTCATTAATTTTCTTGCCGTTGTTAATTCCTTCAATTGCGTTATCGTCTATTCTTTTGGAATCTGCTACGACCTTTTTATCTAATGCACTTTCTAATCACACACATTCAATTTATTTTACTATCATTACATTCTACCACAGAAGTAAAAAAACTATTTACTCTTTTTAGTTGTCAATTTTTTTGCAATTGATTTTCGACCCAAAGATTTTTTACCAGACTTATACACATTCTGATAATATAAGATACTAATCTTTGATTTTTTCGTGTTGGCAGACCTTTTCAACTGTGCTACTTTCAACTAGAAAAAAATACGATTATGAGTTAATTTGAGCTAGTAATAATTTTTATAATAAAATGACTTTATTTGCATTAAATACGATCGTATTGTATAACATATGGTAGTGAGCATTCACCTTGTTGTCGGTGATCTTCGCCATCTTTCTTTTCACAGCACTTTTGAACGTTGCGATACTCAACTTCAATATCGCTTGACTCATTTTATGAGCGACCTAAATCGTTATAAATGAAAAAATTGAAAAAAAAAAATGTTATTTTCATATAAAGTGCATTCAGCATATATTTTAACATATTTGTTTCTCATCGCTGTTTCGTTTCGTTTCAAAAGCACTGGAAGCTTATTGTCGCTTCCATTCGTTTTCAATTCTGTCATTTTACGAGAAACCTAAATCACAATCATCGTGCATTATGTAAAATACGATATCTCATCGTACGTCCCTATCAATTGCACTATACTTTCTTCTTCAGCGTTTGGTCCATCAGTGTCTTCGTTTTACGTTTTAGGATTGGTTTGTTCGAAACATTCTTGGATGATTGCATTTCGACCGAATTCCTGTGAATTAATATATTACATGATAAACCAAACTGAATATAAAACCATACAAATAAACCATACAATATAAATCACACGAACAGCGTCTTACGATTTCTGTTTAAGTCCAAAATTTGTAAATTATATATTTTAGTTGATATGACTTTATCGTTGCCTTGGATATTCTATTATAGGTAATGTTTGATAACCTTCGATTAGTGAATTCTTAACAAACAATTTGCAAGTGGCCAGAACTCAAATTCGAACTGTATTTATTTGTTGACTAAATTATTATTATATTACTAGCTGACCCGAAAAACGTTGTTTTGTCATATAAACTATTTTTAAAGAATATTTTGCTAAAAAAAAATAACTAATTTAATATAAGTGTGTAAAGATGTGGTATATAAGTGGAAAAGGTATGGAGTGCTGTGAACTAGGGATGTGTCGTTCATGAACGACCTAGTTCAATGAACGATTGGTTGATGAACGAATGATGAACAAACGAACGATAAGAATAATTAAATCGTTCAATCGAGAACGATTTATTAATTTTGAACTATCAAAGTTTTGAACAGTGCAATCATGCAATCATACCACTACAATATTTATGAATTTATGATGGCGAACGATGAACGAACGAACGATAAGAATAATTAAATCGGACGAACGATAACCCGTTCGTTCGCGAACGACACACCTTTAATTCAGTCAATCGTGTATCGTTCAGTGAACGATGAACGAACGAACTACTATATCTAACTGAACGAAACTTCAAGTTCCCAATTTCCCATTCCCAATTAAACAGAACTACGAGATATACATTACATAAGCCGTGTATCGTTCAGTGAACTAGTTCAATTAAGTGAACGATGAACGAACGAACTAGTTCACTCAACTGAACGAAACTTCCCATCCCTACTGTGAACGGTGAGGGAATATAAGTTATTGCTATCACGGGTCCGTTCGACCAGCAACGATTCGTTATCACGGCATCGCATTATCTCAATTTGTTTCCGTCTCGTGTTATCGCGAGTGCTGTCTCGTCCGTAGGTGAAACCTCGCCGACGCGTGCAAACGAGCCGTTCTCTGGTCTGTGTCACCTACTCGGGCGTTAGGATTCGAAAGACGGACCGGCATGAGGGCGTACAGACGGGTGTGTAATTACGCGACGGCGGCGATTAAGCAAGAAGCGCAGTATCAGATACCGACGGCCGCACGCACGGACAAGACGAACCCGGTTTGAATGTTTTAATGATTTTTCTTCCTTTCCCCACCACTGTCCTTGCATATTGCAGACGTTGTCCGAGACATTGTTCCCGCTCGGCGTTCCGAATTCCGGTCGACGACCGAATCGGTACTCTTGAATTTGCAATCGGTCCAAATGGGTGAAATGGGTGTATTCTTACAGAGCACGTTAAAAACAAAAACATGCTTCTGGCAGACTATGCCCTCTGAACCGCGATTGTATTTTCTAAAGAAGAAAGAAATAACCCACTGTTAATACTAATTTTAATTCCTGTAATTTTGTAATCCAAGCAGTTAACAAATGTTAGTCGTGACATTTATATTGGTGTTTCTTTTTGTGGTACCCTTGGTGCAACAGAATGTTACGAATCGCTTATAACCTTAGTTATCAATATGAGATTCTACTTTTTTGAATCTTACATTTATCTTTGAAAATAGGAAAACCAATATTTAACGTAATATTTACTATTTTTGACAAACTCCCATGTCATTATGTAATATAAACATCAACTGTTAAATTAATTATTAAATAACTATTTTTAAATTGCAATATTTAATCTATTACTTCTTTCAAATTTATATTAATTATAATGTTCTGATCGACGCCAGTAATAACAATGATAATATATTGCTTTTAACTCAACTCCATACCATTGAACTAATTATCATAGTAACTTATTGAAGAACATGAAATTTAGTTTTAGAATTGTTTATTGTATTTGATTTCCAAATATAACAATTTATATGACTACTAACTATATTTTTTAACAATAATCATTGAAACAATTAGTATATTAGGCATTTTTTTGTTCGAGATATTAATTTTGTTTTTACTATTTAATGTAATATTTGAATTTTTTAGGCAGATCATGATCATCATGATGAATCAAAATTTTACACCATTGATCCTAAGACAATAACTAGTTTATTTCAAATGGGTGGTTTACCAAAGCCTTTCACTGAACAAACCCAAATGTTTGCTGAAACTGCATTGATGGTGCGAAAACCAGCATTAGAAGTTATAAGAGGATTAAAATTGGCTGATTACCAAAAACCAGTCATCAGATATCTATTATGTATGCTTTAAAAATTATTTCTAAATAATCAAATATATTCAAAATAAAATAGATAGGTAATTTCCTTATGTTTATTTATAGATGGTCAAACTGGTAGTGGCAAATCTCTCAGTCTTGCTCATATACTTCATTATGCTCACAACTCTAAATTCATTTTGTATCATATCCCATATGGTAAAATTATGCTTAACAATTTTTCTGTTAATTATTTTTTATACATTATTTTTTTTTTTTAGTTCCCATATGGCTTAAATATGATAGGAAAGAAGTAAACTGGTCAACTACCAAAAATGGATTAGCCGACATACCTCTTATTGCAGCTCAATGGTTAAAACATTTCAAACATCAAAATGAAGTTTTATTAAATGAACTCAATGTAAGTATCTTTTCAAAGTACAATGGGAATCATAATAGGTATATTGAAAATAATATATAGTATAGGGCAAAAATATTAAGTCTACCAACAACACTGTGTATTTATAGTCAATGCCATTACCTAAAACTAACTTTGAAAATCTAAAAAACTTGTTTCATAAGTTAACTTATATAATTACCTAGACATATAATTGATATTCTATGACATCAATATTATACATTTTTCGTTGTTGTAAAATTATAGTTGTGAATTACAAATAACATATTCAAATTCAAAACATAGTTCCATTCTAAAATAGATATTTGGAAAGTATTTAAAACTGAATTTAACTATTGAACCTAACTATGGTTATTATATTTTAAATAGATATTTAAATATTTATTTCAAACAATGCCACATACAATATTGTGCACAGAGTTCATTTCATACTAAACTTGCAGTCAATTTTGTAACTATATCGTATTATAGTTTTCTAATAATTATCTTTTAGAAGACTGTTAAGTTGCTAATAATTCTAATATATTTTGAAAATTAGAATTTATAATTACAGTTCTGATATATTTTTAATTATTTTTTTGCTTTAGCTCACAACAAGTCAAGATTATGTTTGGAGTATACGAGAAACTACGCCTAAAGGAACCATATTAAATGAATTGATTACACATGGTATCAATAGAGCAAAATATGCATGTGACTGTATGGATATACTATTGAATGAGCTAAAAGCTCACTGTTCAAATAATAAGTAAGTCTGCTGCATTAATAAACTTTGGTTTTATCTTAGTCATTATGATGAAAATGTTAAACAATGAAATATTAATATTATTATTATTTATGTTTAGTATTTCATTTCATTATAAATATCAGTACTGTGTTAAAATTAAAACAATGACTTGGATTTGATTGTATTTGCTAGAAACGTGTTCCTAATTATGATTGATGCCCTAAAATGATTTGTTATTATCAGGGCTTATGATTTATAGTTCTAAAAAAATTTGTTGAAATAGTTTAAATATGCACTAAAAATACTAAAATATGCGGAAAAAAATATTATGTATAAAATAAAAATTTTCCTCATTAAAAAAACATATGATCACTCACATCACTATATGATCTAAATAAATATATAACTTATATTATATGAAGAAAAATTAGTTAATTAACATGAATTAATATGTATAATTAATACTACTAAACCTAATTAGATATTTGTTATTTCTAAGAAAAAATATTTTAAAGGCTACGAATTGAAAAATATTAAAAAAAAGCAAAATAGCAATTATATTTTGAAATATGCGAAATTATGCAACATAAAATTTCGTATTTAGCTTCTTAGTCATCTGAACCAAATGTATAGCTCACATAGGTATCTCTAGAACATCTAAAAAAAATATTCAAATGCTAGAAAGTATGAGTCCTGGTTATATCATCCTTTTTTACAATTATTATTTTTATATTTTAGAAAATCAAAATTTAACATACCTACAATTTTAATTTATTTGAAACTTAAATTTAAATATTTTTTTAATTGGACAGTGTTTGTTTAGCATTTACCTAAAAAATAAAAAATACTTGTAAGACTAAAGTTCTGTTTTATAAAAATTGAAAATGTTATTCTTTGCTAAATATATGTATTTAAAATGAATAAGTATTACCTATTACCAATGATTAAATATATATAAATAATCCACGTTTATGTTAAAAATTGTTATTAAGAAATTAAGGTAGTAGGACAATTAAAAATACTGTTATCAAAAAATAACATAATTGTTCCAATTCATTTTTAAGTTTCAAGTGACCCTGATTGACGGTATAAGGATATGTTTATTTGATGTCTGGTTTCAAATTAAAATCTTACGACTATTAAACAGTTCCTAATTTTTGTTATTTTATTATTTTCTTAAAGCTAAATTTTGTTTTCAGATCAAATTCAATACAATATTCTTAATATGATATATTAACTTAATTATTACTTATTTAGATGTAAAATGTTAGTGGCAGTAGATGGATTTAATGCATTTTTCAATGAAAAAACGGATTTGAAAACCGAAGATAGAGTTAGAGTAACTCCTCAACAAATTTCTATGGTACAGACAGGGTTATCAGCTGTCCTTTCTGATTGGGTAATGTGCCAATCTTATTTATTATCTATTTAATTCTATGTACATTGTTTTAATAGTATTATTTTAAATATATTTATTATAGAACAATGGTGCGGTAGTTATGGTCACATCACCTAGAGCAGCATTAAATACAAAAAGAGAGTCCCATTTACCAATTTACCTCTGTGGTCGACAAGTAAGTCCTTTATTATTTTGAAACTGAAAACATCAATTAAGCTTCTTTTAAAGAGGAAAATGAAATATTTTTTCATTGAAAATTGATAATGTATTAATATTTATGAAGTGATGAAATTAAAAATAATTGACACAAAGAAAGCACTCCAATAAAAACTATTTTTATCTGGTAGCTATACTTTAATTAAAAATTATTAAATTTAACAATCAAAATATAATTTTTTTGTAAATCTATTTTATAGATACTTAAATACATTATAGATATTCATGATATTGCTTGGAATTTTAGTCAGAAGTTAGAAAACATTTTATTTCATTTTACTGTTAAGGAAATATTTTTTGAAAACTAACTCAATCTTTGTTCAAGATAAAATTATGACTTATAGTTTTACCATATTTTTTCAGGGATTTGAACACATAGATCCATTCATTCCAGTGATGGTCCCTGAACTGACTACCACAGAATTTAATAACATGTTAGATTATTATGAAGAAAAAAGATGGCTTCAAAAAACCGGTGGCAGAAAAGAACTAGAGTTCTTGACTTCTAGATTACCAGCTGAATTGATGGCAAGATGTGCTTCATTGTAAACGTGTGTATTTAATCATTGTCTTGTTATTATTTAAGTATGGTAGATTTTTTGATTTAAATTTTCAATAAAATAAAATTTTGAATTAAAATTAAAAATATTGTTGTATTGAAAAATAAACTAATTAGACATTTTTAAACTGTCTTTAATTATTGCTAATTTAGTATCCTTGTCAAAAGAAAATATATATATATATTACCATACTTCTAGATAAGTTATTTTTTAGCATTTTATAACAGTTTAATTAACAAAAAAAGTTAATTCTCATACATCATCATAGTTTTTTACAGCAAACCCAAATAGGTTTTTAGTAATAATCAAAAGAATACAGTGCAATGTAGTTTTCTTATGTACTGTGCATTTCAAAACATAAAATTAATGAGACAAAATTGTCCATGCTTTTGATATTTTGGTTCCCTTGGAATGCGTAGCGTATCAACTGTAAATACTAAATGAAATATAATTCCATATCATGACCATATAAACAACTATTGAGAATTCTAGATTTTAGAGTTCGCATGTTTTAATTTTAATTTATTTTGATAATTCTAATTTTGTTTTAACATTCGGTATTTAAATGTTACTATCCGACTGTTATGTATATTTCTGTTTTTTTAATTATACACATGAACACTGTAAGCACTGTTATTAATATTCAAAATTTTAAGTGACAATTTAGTAAAAGCTGTTCGTATTGTTAACCATTATTGGTTTTTTATAGAAAATGTCATGTTTCACCACACATCCCTTATTAATTCAGAAAACCACATAACACTTGGAATTTGTAACTTTTCAGTAGGTGGTTACATTTATGCTTTTCAGGAAATAATATCTGAATTAAAATTAATCGTTGATTGCTTACCATCAAAAAGCCCTAATAATATTGACAATTTATATGAATTATAATAACCATAAAGAGTTTTATAAAGTTAAGTTTACTCTCTTGGATAGTAAAAACTGAAAATTTAAGGATATACTTATATGCTTAGAAAATTAATTGTAAGAAATAGTGAATTTTATAATCAACTAATAAAAATACTTTATAAGATAAAATGGAATTAACTGGGTTGAACTGGAAGAAAACAATAATGATAATTGCTAATTTAGGCAGAACATTTATCGCTGAAAGATGAAATTTATCTGCTAAAAACTAAGTTTATATTTTGTGCCCATAAATGATACTTAATGATACTTAAGGTTCTAATTAATGATTAATATTTTTAATAATAATAAGGTATTCTACCAACTGATGTTGGAGAGATTTATTATTTCAGATCGCTGAGATATAATCTCTGATATTATAACACTAAAAAATACGAAAATAAAAATCTAAAAACAGAATATTATCACCATATTTAAGTCAATACATAATCATGTCAATAATAACAAACTTATTATATCCTAAACAATTTTAAAGTCTTTTTAAAGATAAACAAAAAATTAAAAAATACTGTGCTTTAAAAATGTATGCGATTTTCAAATTTTTAATGTACCTTAATTGGCACAAGTTTACAATAAATTTTTCAAATAAATAGTTGTTATATACAGAGTAATAATTATTAATAGTGGTATCTAAAAAAAAAAAAAAAAAATTCAACCGTTTTAAATATTGAAACCAAGATGGAAAAATCCTTATATGTAGACTTATCAGGTAATAAATTGTGCGCAAACCAAAACTTCTATTGGCTTTAATGAAACGCAAATGGCTTTGTTCACTTGTCGACCAATTAAAAATAGAAAACAAATTTTTTTTAAAAAACGGTGCCTAGTTGTATTGTTCAGGTAAAACGTAAGAAATATCGTCCCATGGATGACGGTAGAGTCCTTGTTTTAATCTTTTCTGATCCATGAAATGTCCTAAAAAATTAAAATAAGTATATTAAATATTACAATGAATAATAGTTGATAAACTTACCAATGAATCCAATACTTCTTCCGAGTACAAACAAACTGTTAATAGAGCCCATATCAATATATTCATGGGCTTCTTCACGAGTGAAGCTTCCACTATTTCTCAATAAGTCACAGAAGGATACAGCTATACACCCATCAACATTTAAAATGAGATTTGGTTTTTTCGATGTAGTAATTTTTTCTACTTCTAAAGCATAGTTCAATAATGGTGTGGCTGGAAAGTTTTCCAAAACAAAGTCTCTTATGATCTTTACTCTCATATCTGGATTGTTAATCTAAAATAAAAGCAAAAATATCCAATTTTATTTTAGAATAATTATCTTAACATGACTTATTCAAACAGGTGTCATATAAAATGGTTTTAACTATAAATTTAAAAAAAGAACTTACAGATTTTACACGATGACCAATGCCCATGATGAGTGATCCCTTCTTACGCATTTGGTTTACAAATTCCATTGGAATTAGTCCAGAGTCATATGCTTCTGTGAATTGTTTAGCAGCACCATCCAATGCACCACCAAATCTGTCTCCAATTGTCAACAAACCAGAAACCAGAGATGAAACAAGATCTTTTCCAGCTCTTGCACAGACAATTGTATTGTGGGCACCAGATACAGCTGGTCCATGATCAGCAGTTACCATTAGACACATCTCAAAGAATTTGCAAACATATGGAGGCAATGAACGTTGGAACCATAATAGTGAAATTACTCCTCCAATACCCATGTCTGCCTTGAGAACATCACTAATTGGCATACCAGCATACAATAATTCTTGTCCACGCTCATCACAAATACTAGTCATGAAAGAAGCTGGTTTACGAATAAGACCAAGTTCACGTGCCCAAGAATAGTCCATGGGAACAGTTGGAGGTGGTAATTCAGGTTGAGGAATAATGACACCTTCTTTCACTAATTTTACATAAACATCATTGATAATGTCTCCCAAAAAGTCAAATGAAGTAGGTACAAATGCACCAGCTGCTCGAAGATTAGCGTTTTTAGAAGTTGCCGTTTCTTGATCAGAATTAGCACATGAACCAGCATGACCAAATTGAACCTCGGATGTAAACATACCTGAAGAAAATATTGTTTATAAATAAAACTTTAAAATATACTTAGAATATATATGAACTTACTAGCACAAGTTCCAATACACCAAGCCACAAGAGGTTTGGTGATTTTTTTCTGTTTTAAAGCTTCACAAACTTCATACTCTTCAACACCTCCAACTTCACCCAGAAGAACAATCATTTTAATTTCTGGATCAGCTTGATATCTCATTATGTGATCCATAAATGTAGTGCCTGGATAACGGTCACCACCAATAGCTACACCTTCATATACACCATCAGTTGTTCTTGAGATAATATTATTCAACTCATTTGACATACCACCAGATCGAGAAACATATGCAACACTAGACATAATTGTTAACATTTTATTAATTGATTACTATATCTAATAATCTAATAAATTGCATCACATACCTTCCTTCTCTATATAATTTGGAATGCAAAATATTGTCCATCATACCACCAGTATTACCAATTTTGAAACAACCCGGTTTTAATCCACCAACTGTAGCAGGTCCAATAACAGTAACTTTTTTTTCATTGGCTAACAATATTAATTTTCTTGTCATATTTTCTGGTATACCTTCAGCAATAATAGCAATAGTTCTAATCTAAAAATATAAAACAAATATTTATGTAACTTAAAAAGTTGAAAATTTGTATTTAAAAAAGGTATGACTTACTTGAGGATAATTAAGAGTTTCAATTGTACTGTCATAAGCTGATCGCAAAGAAGCAAAATTTACTAACACGTCTGCATTACGATGCTTTGACATGGCATCTTCCATTTTTTTGTACACTAAAAACATTCTTATAAAATACCTTTCAAAAATAAACATATACAAATTACTAACCAGGAATTAAAACTTCTTTGTGTCCCCAGTAAAATTTCAATTTATGGTCACCTGTAAATGGATATACAAGACATGCAACAGATGGTTCATGTCTTCGGCAAACAAAATCAAAATCAAGCATACTCTAGAAAATGAAATGTTTATAAAATATAAATATTCAGTTAATAATATTTTGGCAATTTTAATAATTGAAGTTGATTTAATTAAATACTACAATAAGAAAAAGTAGTAAAATAAAATAAAAAAGTACAGTAAAAATAATTTACCTGCACAGCTCTAGTTTGCATTCCCCATACAATGGCTTTAGTGTTGATGCTAAATAAGGGTTTAACAGAAGAGGTAGAAGAAGTAGACTTAGGTCGCACATTTGATGAAGCCACTGTTGGACTTCCTGCTCCATCATTAGAACCATCAACAACTTCTTGTTTAGCATTGACAGAATTTGAGTCCTAAAAATTTTGATTTATTTTTGATAAATATTAATCAAATTATAAGCATCAGTGAATTATTTTAATTTTACCTGTCCACCAGGCAAAAGGAAATTAGCAGTAACCGATTCCTGTTCAGTTTCTTTTGGTATAGATTTTTTACCCAAAGCATACCCAACAATAGCTGTCATATGGGTTTCTGGTCCAAATACATATATAGGAATGCGTAAAGTTTTTCCTACTTCTCTTATAATTCTAAGACCTTCTTGGTAATTAGGACCAGCACGACGAACGTATATTGTGATATTGTGTTCCAAAATTTTTGTCTGGTATTCAGTCAAGGCAGTGACTATACCTTTGAACGTTGCTGCTACATTGGTAAAGTTGGCAATACCTCCTCCAGTAATTAAAACTTTACCATCAGGATGTTTCTCTTGGGTCATTAAACTCAAAATTGTCTTTGCATACTCATAAGTTTGTTGTTCCGAAGGAGCACCACTGTATTCTCCATAGTTAGCTAATTCACTAGCACCTCCATAATCACAAATGGTATCAGCATAAATAACAGAAGCACCACCACCAGCAACCATTGTCCAGATACGTCCTTTTTTGTTTAAAATTGTTAACTGTAACAAATAAAAATCATATTTTATATAATTGATAAAACCGCAGAAATAAAACAGAAAATAATCAGTTTTATAATTGTTTAATCTTACTTTAAGAGAAGCTCCACTTTTAGCATCCAAATCAGCAATGTATGCTTCTTCTGGAAAAGCATCACGTCCAAATGGTGGGGGGTATTCAATTTCACCCCAAGATGCACGGCAAATAAAATCAGCAGTAGAATCAATTTTTGCAGCTAAATCCAATATATATATAGCACTATCTGTTACTACTAACGGATTGATTTCCAAATATGTGAAATAAAGATTAACATACATTTTGTACAAAGCAACAATAAATGTTGCAATAGTCCTACAAAAAATAATATATTAATTAACAAAGAATAAATATTTTAATATTTATTAACTATAAGAATAAAAAACTACTTGTTAAAATTAACATTATTTTTACTTTTGCTTAGCAGGGCTGACTTTAGTCAACAAATTTTCCAAAATCTGCTCTTCTGTTACATTTTGTCCAATTGGTACTTCAAGCTTCAACGCTTTAGCATCAACATCTCCAATATCTACACCACCTTCATGGTGGAAAAGAATTGTATCAGCATGACGATGAGAGTAAATACATACATATGCTTCTTCATCCTATACAAATAAAAGGATTAGTTTTTAATTTATATTAAATATAAGCATGGTGTACATACAGCTTTATGAGGAATGAATGGTTCAATGATGAAATTCTTTAATTTTCCATTTGCCCGACCAATTTGTTGGTCTTTTCCCAAACGCTCAAGAATCCATTGTTTAGCACTAGAGTAATCAGTTTTTACTTTAATCAAACCTAATTTACCTCGGCGTTTAATCAATTGATCAGGTTTAGCAACCAAACTCTAAAATAGTAAACATAAATTATTACAATTATTTGTCATAAATAAAGTATTTTTTATAACTTCCACAAGAAGAAAAAAAATATTACTTCAGTTTTTAACCATGGGTTATCCAAAACAAGGTCTTCCCATTTTGTGTTTTCATTCACTGATGCAAACCGGCACTTTACAGCAGATGTTAGTGGAGCTAAATTTCTGTTTATGATATCTTTACCAGTCGCTTCACTTATTGCTTTGGCTGACATTATGAATCAACTGAAATATAAAATATAGTTGAAATAAAACACATAATGATTATTGATACTTGTGTCATGTTTACTTATTATTTATAACAGGAAAGTATGATTTTTATTATTTACTTAATTTAATTTAACTAATTATTCATAGTTTTAGTTAAATTGTTAAAATTTCCAAAATAAAATTAGGTATGTATATAATATATACATACCTAATTTTATTTAATACAATACATATATTATATGTATTGCATTAAATATTTACTATAGTTAATCTAAATTATAAAATATCTAATGTGCAATGAAATAATTTTACATTAAAAAGGCCTATTCACAAAATGACTATTGTGTAATTTATTCTATCGATCATTATACTATTAAAATCATAAGACATAGGTATACCTGTGTATATAAAAAAAAAGATAACACAGGGGTTATTAGAGGTCAACGTTATGAATAAGTTAACTTGAACGACCTTAAATATTAAATATTTTTACAAATTTATCAGTTTTGTATACTTAAGATATAAAAGCCATATAGAGAATAATTAAATAAAAATAACAATGAAAATAAAATATATGTTATTATAAGTATAATATTAAAAATAATTTTCATTACTGATTTATACTAAAATAACAATTTAATATTAATTTATACACTAAATGACTTATTGATAATCATGACGTAATTATAGCCACAAATTAATTAATGGTTACCTAATAAATGAACAGCTATTAAAATACATACATTTTAAAAGTATGTTTAATTGAATTAACTAATAGTAAAAATATGAATATGGTAGTACACACTTTTGAAAAAAGTTATAATATGAATATGTATAATTTCTCATGGGTATTAATAACTATTTATAGACAATAAAATATGAATATTAAATACATGATTGATTAATTAGCTATATTATATAAGTACTCCAGTTCATGTATTACATGAAATTACATGTATTATTAAAATGTTACTAATAAAAAAAATAACTATATAAGTATACATCTTTTTAACAATTATTTTATATAATAGACTTACCATAAAAGTTATGGTTCTTAACACCTTTAAAAGTTTAGAGATCAAAGTATAATAAATAATGAGGTAAAATCTACTCTTAGTTTAAGAAAACTAAAAATTATATTTATTGAATTATAAAAGAAAAACAAAACATAGATATGTCTTATAAGAATCTAAAAAATTGATTCAATATTTTTATATTATTATGAATTGCATTTAAAATACATTCATAGATGTAAATATAAAATTACGAAACCAAAAAAATTATTAATAAAATGACTTAGAAAATACATAGTTAACAAAATATGCATAAAGAATAATTATTATACTCTAATACAAAATACATACTTTGAAAATCACAGGAAAAATGCCTATAATACCTATAGTATTATAAAATAAGCATGCAACAATTAAACAAAATATGGAATATTTTTAAATAAAGTTATACGAATATAGTAGGTATTATCATGAATAGTAGTTGAAATAGTATTGATAATGTGAATGAAATAAAATTTAAAATTAATAAATTATAGCAATCAAATAAAATTACCGTCAGAATACTTTTGATGTGATAACTAGGCAAACTTAAGGGATAAAATTGTACTATAAGAAAATGTTTAATATTTTAATATTATAATGCACAATTAATCAGGTAATAATAATGATTATGAAACAAGACGGAAACCATCGATGGTACAAACAAGACTGATCAGAGAAAGTTATTAAGCTCGCCCTTTCTTACATGACCAAGGTCGCAGCAATATTACCCAAAGTAATAACCTATTGACTTAAACTAAAATAGATAATGATTATAATGAGTAAAAAGCGTTACTTGTAGGGCTAATTGATCATAAAAAATTATAGATAGCAAAATCTATGAAACTTTTTTTATACAAATTTTTTAATTATAAAACATTATTTCTAGCTAATAATATAAATAAAACTACCTATAACATATAAATAAAACTATGAAATTCAAAATTCTCAAAACCAGTTAATGCCACAAAAATTATATATTTTACAGTTCTATATGACCATTTATATAAAATAAATTATAGTTATAAAAATAAAATAAAATATTGTGTTTATTTAATGAATATGAAAATATATCATAAGTCCTTACAGTTTTTATTGGGTAACAACAACTTAGTAAATAAGTACTTACCACCATTAATTTAAAATAAATAATTAGTACAAATTATGTAAGAATTTTAAAATATTAAATTTATTTATATTGTATTTTCAAAGATTATGGTATTGATTATTGGTCAAATTAAAATAACAAATTAAAAAAATATTTTATTATAAATGTGATTAATATATTATAAAATGAGGATATGGGTCAATCTACCAGATTTTAATTTTAACTAAAACAAAAATGAACTTAACAATTCAAATAAATTTTCCAGAAAAATCTTTAAAATATTAAAAATAATTTGCAACTAGGATGCAATGCAAATTGAGGTTTAATATATCAAATACATAAAATAATAGCAGTTAATCCTCAAGTTAATCTATGCAACTACAAATGGTTAAACTAAAAATATAACTGTCTACGAGATAATGAAGAAAAAATGAAGGATAAAGCTTGATTCACGCCTGTTCGGCACGGCACGGCATAGCACAGTACGTAATGGCACGATTAAACATAGTATTATTAGTTTATATGAGATAATTCACATTGGTGAGTATGTCACCGCATCTGCACAGATCAGACCGACCGACCATCATTCGAAAGAATGTTTTAACGTTTCGGTTCGTGATGGTCTGTGTCGGTACAGTGTGAACGTAGAAACCGACAAACATCGGTGAAAAACTATTCAAATTTACATAATTTTATTTAGAACTGAAAATATTTAGATTTTCTATATTCTTTTTCAAGTACAATATGTAATCCTCACATTAATTTATCAAAAATACAACATTTCAATCCACTCATTGAATTTATTCAAGGAATAAGGATCATTATATCAATTTATTACTATGCTCATATTATTTTTTGTGCCATTCTTATTACCAAGTATCAACACATATTAAAAAAAATTCAAAACAAATTACAAAATTCTAACACATGAATAATAATATGCCATTACGTTTCAGTCTGGTATTCTGCCGTGCCATGCCATGCCGGACAGGTGTGAATCAGGCTTAAGTTTTATAAAATTATATATTTAATAATAAGTAAATAGATGAAAGTCAAAACAATTCTTAAAGTATAGTTTAATATTCTTAAGTCATAGGTTTTATTTTAAATGTTTTATATTGCAACTAAATTATATTGTATGAAATACAAGAGTCTTAATAACTAACTAGAAATTTGTAAAAAAAAACAGATGCAAAGTTTTTAGCAAAGAAAGCATTATGCTCAAAATTTTTATTTTTCGATTAACTCTGTAATATAAAAATTAGATTTTCAAGTACAACAATAGTTGTAAAAATATAAAATTAATTTCAAATACATTTTATCTCATACATCTAACCCTGATGTGAGCAAAAGCTTTAAATTAGTAAATAATTTAAATTTATTTTAATATATTAATAAAACAATATTATCAAACAATTTCAACTGTTGAAATATTAAATTATATAATTACTTAATATTTTATAAATATACTAGCTTATTTACCCAACTTGGCTTAGATAAGTTTTTAATTCTGTATATATTATTATATATTTAATATATAATTAAATAATAATTAATTATCTTTAATAATTTTTTTTATTTTTATTTCAAAACACAACTTATAATTTTTAATTAACTATTTACTAATTGGTGCAATATATTTTTGGTTAACCAATCATTTTCTAACACAAATAGATTTGATGAATGCAAATTCATCGCAGTGAGTATTGTTATTGGTGAAGATAATCGCTTTTTAAAATTATTTTTAGTAAAATAGACAAGTATCATTTTCTAGGTATGTGACTGTGGGGTTCTTTTTTTTCCCCCAAAAAATGTAGCATATCCATATAATGTATCCTCCTCCAAAATCTAATCTATCTCTTTGCCAAATTTCATCAAAATCGATTAACTAGTTTTAAAGTCTATTGAGAACAAACCATTGAACACATATTTTTTATACATATACATTTGTTATACTTTTACATCAAAAATAGTTAAAAAGATGTTAACCTGTTTTATGTGAGTGAAAAACATTTTCTATCGGATCAAATTGTGGATCTAAACCATTTTTGTATCAACTTAATCGCATGCACGTATCATAAAAATCAATCCAGCAGTTTATTGTTAGAGTTCAGTGACATACACACAGACAGTAGACATATATATGTGTATAAAGATATATTTAATATCGCATGTTACTTAGATTCAAAGGCCAAATACCATAAACTTGCAGTAACCAAAGGTCGATATCATAACTTAAAACTAATAGTTAAGTTAAAAGTAATGTTAAATAGTATCGTTAAAACCAATTTTAGACAGCAACAAACATGTTATGTTATTATATCTTACCCTGTCTAGTTTTCCAACAGTTAAAAATCTGGTTTAGATTATTAACAACTAGATCTTTGGTAAGAAATTAAAAACCAGCTAGAACATACTGCTTTTTTAATGTTGACCTCATTGAAAGACAAGGTCATAGATTTCACAACTTGGAGAAAAACAAATTTAATTAATTATATATTTATGATAAATAAAGAATAACAGTATAAAAACAAAATAATTAAAAATACTAAAGATACAAAATATTTTTATTTTTTTTTAAAGAAAATTTACAATTTGTAAATAATTATATACACTAATTAAAATCGATAGCTATACATATACATGCACAACTGTTTATTTTAAACACATTTAAATTAAAAAAAGAAATATGTTTTACTATAATATACTACTTGGTATTAACTAAATACATTTAAGTAACTTGTTGATAAAAAAATTATAAAAATAAAGTAAGCTATTTAACAATGAAAAAAAATAATGAATACTACTCGTATATTCAATACTCATTCAATCAATTCGAAATTTAAATGTGTTCT